CAATACAGGGTATAAGTTTTGTTATATAGAAAATCTAAAGCAAGGTAAAGAGCTGAGGTAGAGAAGGCCAGAAGAGCAAAGAGTGAGCTCATCTTTGCTGCTAAAGACCCTAATATTGGAAGTTACTATTTTATGTTACAAGACCTACTGATCTAAATGGCATTTGAAAAGTGCAAATAAGCCATGGCTAATGCTTTTTCCCCCTCCTGCTTTGTGGGAGGTCTTGCCTACATTTGTTTGGGTTTTTAAAATTAAAATCACTGTTTTACAATTGTTACTAAATAACATTTCAAATTTTCCATTCTAGGAAAAGCACAACAAAATGACCAGACAACAACACACAATTACTGGTACGCTTTAAAGCTGCAGAGGGAGGGATTTCCCCCACTTCTAACCAGAACAAATTTTCATTTGTTTTGAAAAGACGAGCAGAAAAGTGAGCTAAAGGTGAAGACAGATTATTGAAACGTAAAATTAAGTGAACGTGTTGCACATGCAGATTACAAAGCAATATTAGATGCAGGTTAATGAAACATTCAAGATAGAGAAGTTCATGGCAGAGACATTTAACACATTTCAACACATTTTTCTTACAGCACATAGTGAAATTATCAATGATAATTCTGAAGAAACTTCCAAGTCCATGATATTCCACATCCTTGCACCTGGATGTCCAGAACCTCTACTTGAGTGACCAGTCATTCTCTTTAACTTTTCACTGGATAGCCCAAAGGTTTAAAAATGACAGATTGAATCCAGGAGGCAATCAAGGTATTATAAATATCCCTCTCCAACTTCTTCCATGGCTTAGTTCTATAAAAATTAAATTTTATAAACAACTTTATGCACAGTACTCAATTATTCTAATTTGTTTTCAAAATTTGGATAATACAAGATATAAAGACATAAACTGAAGTAAGGATATTTATTGAAGAACAAAATCTCAATATAAGAATGGAAACTTGAATCTAAAAGTCCTAAAAGTACAATCTAAGTTATAAATGCAGAATTAATACTTCTGTCATTCTAGTCTGTCAGAATCTCATATAAAAGCAAAATGGGGAAAAAAAACAGAAAAAAAATCCAACAAAAGAAAAAGAACAACACACTACTCCCAAAAGATCTCAAGAAGTCATTTTTGTACACATGTACAGAATCATACAGATGCCCCTGTTATTACATAAAGAATAAGACTTTTGGGCAATTACTTTTATAAAACAGAGTACAGCAGAATATTTTTTTTGAAAATACTAGGACTCCAAAGGGAACCACAGAAATTGGAAGAATATGTCTTACAGTCTTTGTCAAAAAAAAAAAAAAAACAAACACAATCAACAAAACCTAAATCTTTTCTCTACAATTCTTTGCAAAAATTATCCAAGATGAAGATAATGGCCTTTGAATTTAACAAAATAAACCCAAGAACAAAACCAAAAAAACCCTCATGCAACACTTCAGCCTGAGTTAAAGAAAAAAACCACAGGATTTCATATGTTTATCTTGCTTTCTAACAAAGAGTACAGAAAAACTGCCAACTCATTAATAATCTGCTCTTCATCTTCATTCACCCCCATAATCAAGAAGAACTGCTTTTCAAAGGAAAAACTGATAAGCTCACAAAAGCATCGTAACAAGTACCTGAAAATGGTGACCAAAGCAGAGCAACCATACCCTACTAAAGCAGGGACTCAAAAGATATAGCTACTTTATCTCAAGAGAAGTCTTAACATGACAGCTTAAATCCAAGCGAATGAAGGAGTCAAAATATTTGTCCATTCAAGTAGTTACCACAAGCAGTAGGGCACAGGACTTCCCTACATGCATTTAACAAGACAAAGCTTTTCTTCTCCTGTAAATATCTCTTCTTATGAAAACGAGCACAAGCCAACCTTTAATATTTGGAAAGTGCTACAGTAGAACACAAGAAAAATAGGAAAGAGCATGAAACTTATCCTAAACAGCTGAACTGTGCAAAAGCATTCTTTTAACACCTATTATCTCAGTACAGATTTTTTGAACGTGCAATCTCAGCATGACTGCCTGCAAACATATTTTTCTTCTGTAGGTGAACCAGAGGAAAAGAAGATTTCTTACTTGAATTTTACTGCTTATTACCATTTGACTGCTGACACACGAGGATGGAGTTTTGCCATTTTCTGCAAAGCTGGACTACTCTGAACTAAATGCACAAGAACAATAAAGGGATTGTTTTCTGTAGCTGCAGTTCCAAAACTGTACTAACTACTGCGACCATTTAAGGAGAATTTCTAAGGATATTGTTGCTTGTTAAAAGGGACAGAAGTACAAGAAACACCTTGGCTCCAAAGCAACTATTACAACAGACATCGGTACCCCTATACATGCCACTTTTTTGGAAATACCACTAAAGCCACTGCTTCACTGTACTGATGTAAAGCAAGGTCAGATGTGTAGCACTCCCTCTAAGAATAACACCCTTCTGAGAACAATTAGAGTGAAGTGGACAAAAACTGGGAAGTCAACCAACTTGGGGCTGGTTGACTGGAGGGGTGCAGGTGGTTTGGGGTTTTTTTGGTTTTTTTTTTACTTCTCTTACACGGGGAGTAGGGGAAGAGGGGAAGAACAGACTTCTCGCAAATCCTTTTGAAAATTACACAAATCCCTCAAGAGAACCTAATCATGAAACCCATTTTGATTCCAACAAATAAAAAAGAAAAGATCCTATCATACCTTATACAAACAAGAAATAAAATAATAAATTTTAATTATTCTATTTAGATATGGCAAAGTAGTACAGAAAATTATTAAAACCATTATTTGAAATACAAAATAAACTCATGCTGGTAGAAGCATTTCTCAAAATGTTAATTAAATTAATTTAAACTTAAAAGATATTTACAATTAATATGAAATTCAATCTTGAAATTTGTAGGGAAAACTAAAAGTTATGGAAGTGGACAACATTAAACCACTGTACATATCACAACTTCAATACACAATACGAGTGCTGTAATAGCTAAAGAACAGAGGAGGAAAAAAGCATATGAATTCCTATCATTAAACACCAAACTGCAGTAACTCCTTTTGTACCAGAGAAACCACTTGCTGTTATGGCATTCTGACCCAGAAAAAAAATCCAGAAAGTAATAAGCCTTCCTAACAAAATCCTCACAAATAAAAGGAGCTCTGCACTCAATATTCAGAAAGTAGGCTTACTATTCAGTTTCCTTTACTACAATGACTTAATTCTGGAAGATAAATTCCTTAAGAGGGAATCCAGTCTTCCAGTTTCTGCATCAATGAAATAATTTCAGTCTGCATTGTGGTGCTCATTTTTTATTTCATATTTAATTTTAAAGGTAAACAAGCACTGTAACTTACAGGGAAGTTCAGTTAATAATATAACATGCCTGCTATTGGCAGAAATATCTTTTTATATTCATAATTTTTTCAGTGTCACAAAACTTAAAAATATATCATTTCTTTTATACTGCAAAAATTATTCTCAAATTTAAATCAAAATAAATTGTATTGCTAAGCAACTTGTCAAAAATAATAAAAAAAAATTTTATATGTGACCTTTTAAGGTCACACTTGAAGTACAAGGTTTGAATGCATGATAAGACAAGCTTAGAATAGAAACACTTTCATGTACTGGCAGAACTCCCAGCTATATCAGGCTGCATAAAACAGAAATGGAACAAAGCAGCAGAATGTTTCTGCCTGTATACCACTGTCAAGAAAAGGCTATCCAGTTGCTATACACTATGTAATAGACAAAGAAAAATTAGGATTATAATTATCCCAAGTATTATCTTAGTCACCAATTATAACTAACACCCAATCTGTAGCTCTGTAGCCATTCAGAGTGCTGGAGATTCTTTGGAGTGACTCTCACATTCACACCACTGCGAACTGATTCAGTTGATTACATGGGTTTTCTATAAACCGTGAAGGGATTAAACAAATGAACACACATCCTTCCAAAGACTTGTTTATTTCTCCAGATAAAAGTAGGAAAAATAAAATTATGCCAAGGTGATTTTTACGGAGTATGAATTTGAAATAGCAAACCATAACATCCTAAACTACTGCTAACTTTGACTAGTTTGATACATTCCATTTTGTCCTCTGCCCAAGTGTTAGTTACTATGCTGGGGGGCTCATTGCTCTGTTCATTTGTTTAATTCTACAGGTTTGTGTGCTCAGCAGAGGTTTAAATTTGAACAAACCAACTAAAGAAAATATAAAGAAAAGTAAACTTAACTAAAATTTCTACCATCAGGTATGCAAGAAGTATCTATCCAAGGCTTGACTGAAGCTGAAAAAGGCAGTGCTTTAAAAGAGTAAGTAAACAACAATACCATAAAGAATGTCAAGAAATTGAAATTTCCCTTTGAAGATACACAGTCAGCAGAAAGACATCTCACAACTTACAAAGAACAGAAGCCTAAACCCAGTGTTTCAATGCCAGAGAAGAAAAATTACTGTCATGTATTGTTTCTGAAGGGCAAAAAAATGAACAGACTTGTGAAGAATTCAGAATAGAGGAAAGACAATACAAAAATACACTACACAAATAGTCATCTAAGAAGTACAAAGGCACGTTTAAAGTAATTTTAAAATGGACCTGGCTTAACACGTTAACATAAACAATGTTTTCGCTCTAGAAGCATCTTAGGTCCTGCATCTGATAAATTTATTGATAATCACAACCACCTTTCAACATTCAATAGAGTAGCATCAACCACCAAATTTCAAAAACATTCTGTAAGATTAAATGCTTTCCACTAACATTGCTACATTAGAAGAAAAAGAACAGGAATTGCTGTGAGGTACACACCCAATCCTACAGCTTGCATTAAGGAAAAAACCCATCACAATGAAATCAATTTAAGTTTTCAAACTAGGAAAAAACAAACAAACACACCAGAAATATTGTTTTGACTTAAAAATAAAAAAGTGAAACAAGAACATGCCAACTAAATTATATACATTGCTCCCCCTTTATTTGTACTTGCCTAGCAATACTTTAGCATCTTCCACATCAAAATCTCCATCTCCATCAGCATCATATATCCCAAGCTTTCCTAGAAGTGCAAAGAGAGGAAGAAAAGACAATTAGGGATTTGGCCATTTGTGCCCAGCACAGTTTTCAATGTGTGATAGTTTACTGTCAATGCTAGGTTGTGACCATCTGTTTTTAACAATCGAGCTGTAATATTCTTAACCACATTTTAAATTTCTGGGAAATACTACAAATATTTCAAATTTCTTTCTGTACTTCCTGCACTTGAGATCAAACACATATTTGTCTTTTTCCTGCGTTGATTTTGCAGCCAGTAGATTTAAAGCAAGTCTGTGATATATATTTGACATTAACATGCTTTGCTCAGAATAAAATTTAAGTTCACAAGAAACATTCAATATGTTTGAGGGAAAATAATAAAACAAAAATTTGTAAAATAATGGTCATTTGTTTTCTGATTGCATGCTTCCTGCAATTCTAAATTCATGGGAAAGATATAGCTATATAGGGATGTAGTTTTTGGAGCCAAGTTTATAGAAAGTAAGCAGCCTACTTCCCAGACAAAGGAAAACCATTCACAAATTCTACCAACAATTGTATAACTTTCCATGCAGACAAAATAAGATGTTTATCCTTTCATGTTAGACTAATAAAACGGTTTTCTCACTTTTTGTTTTTGAAACTGCAGCTCTATCAGCCCTAAGTATATGCAAAGAAAAACTCAGTTTCTATTAAAAGAGAATTTTCAGCATAGAAGCATGGTGTCCAAGATTTGAAGTATCCTGGGACCACCAAACTAGTAGAAAGTTATCTAATTATAGGCTTGATAAAATTCAGACACAACTTTTAACAGGATCAAGCTCTGCAGAGCTTGCAGAACTTTGTGTCCTTATAGTCTGACAGTTTACTACACTTGTCTTTCTCTAAATGAAGGTAGAACTTTCTTGCTATCAAAATAAATGAAATTCAGTTCTTAATATGGTACTTAGAAAATCAGAAATCAGTTTTGTGGAAGAAAAAATTTAGACTTGGGTCTAGAATAGAAAAATATGTTCATCACCATTGTATGGAAGCAATCCATTAGAAAGGAGCCATATCTGTTTATGGATAAACCAGCAGACTGGTGCAAAAATATAACTCCCTAGAAATAAGAATTATATCATCTTCAAAACCATGAAGAATGAGACAGACGAGAAATAGCTGAGCTTCATGTCACTGCAGAAGAAGAGTAATTCTTAAAAAAAAATTAAAACCATAATAAAGTAAACCAAAACTTTCAGCCAAGGCACTGTAAAGCAAGCTTACTTCTCTAATATCCTACCTTGTAGGACCTCTGACAAGTTATAACGGAAATCCTTTGCTTTGGCTGCATGCATGGTAAAAATACAAAAAACATTATTTGCATCACTAGACCCAGTTAAGTTTCAAACCAGAAGATTTTTTTCTGAAAAAAAATCAGTCCAAATCAAAAAAAAAAAAGCATGTACCAACAGATGTGTAAATTTTGTAAAGCCACCAGGTGCAAAAGTACATGTTGAATCCTACAACATCAGGGAAAACAGATGTACCTATGGACATACATCTTGAAATTTGAGATATTACTTTATAACCTTAAATATTATATTAATAGTACTGTCTTAAAATTGTCTCATTGAGATAGAATTATCACTGCTATAAGCTTAAAACTGAGGTCATTCAACATCTCACTCATGAGAGGATGACTGATCAGTTGTCCTGACCCTACAGGCATCACAGTCCATTGGAGCAGAGCTAACATTAACTGCCTACTTTCAACCACTGCTGTGAGTTTCTGAGAGCTTAAATTCAAATATTTAAGCATATTTAGCTGACCTCTCAAATTAACTGCAGTATACATCTTACAAAGACATCCTACAGGATGTTCATACCCTTTTATGAAAACCCCATTTTAACATTATAATAGTGCTCAGCATTAAAACATACATTTTGAACTACACTGCCTATTCTTATCATGTAGATAATTTGCAAACACTACAGTAAACATATCATCTATCTAAAAATATAAAATGGCATTCATTTAATGCATATTAACATTATTAGAAAAATCTTAAGATTTAGAACTCTTACCTAGAACTTCTTCATAATCTACAAGTTCAAACCAGACAACTGCTACTGATGTCCAAACTCCCAGCAAAGCAATTACCATAAACCAGGTGAAAAATGAGCTTCCAGAGAGGCCTTCTTTCTTTCCATTCTTGCCTCCTCCATGCTTAGTCTCTGTTAAAATAAAACAAGAAGAAAAAATGGATGTGAGAGTTAGAAAATTATTATTGAAGATACAATTATAAAGATTACACAGAATACAAAACATTTCAATTACAATGGTGGGTTTTGTTGTTGTTGTGAAGTTTTTTGGTTGGTTGGGTTTTTTAAAACTTTACCACCTTTATTTGCTCTCCATTTCACTGTGAATTACTGTGAGAAGCTTTATGATTATCTAAGCAAAAGCCTCAAACCAACCAAACACCAAAAGCCCTGATCTAATTTGTCTTACAAGTTAGCTGAAAATTCCGCCTTGCTCCCCTTTGATGTCTATTTACACAGAGCTTCACATTTTTGAGATGCTTCGCATTTGTTCCCCGGCAGTTCCCAGACTGCCACCAGAGGCCAGTATGGCCAGCAGAAAAGCTTTGCAAGAGAAGCATTTCTCCTAAATCGAGCTTCAAAACTAGTCAAAATAGCTCACAGAACCAACGTGACAATTCAAATAGCCTAAGAAAACTCTAAAACCTGAACTATATTAAGGGTAAGACTTCAAATTCAGGACACTTTGCCAACTAAAACCATCCTCCCTGATGCTTAGTACTAAGCAAATTCGCTCCATGCTATACAACTCTAGAATTTCAGTCCTATGGAACATACAAGTAAAAGGATGACACAAAAACATAACACAAATCATGATTTCACTTATAAACTGCACATATGGAAAGCAGACATATATAAAAAATACACGTAATTGTAAATAAATGACTGCAAAAGACTTTGACCCAGCATATGTGTAGCAAGTTTCAAATGGGCATCATCACCACAGAAGACATAAATTGCTTAGTCTGTTGTTTTAGGATTGCTTTAGTGAAAGAGGGATATGCATATACATATATAAAAGTAAATCAATATGTACACAAAATGCTGCCTGCCTGTGGCCTTCTCCAAAGCTCAAGGTCTGCTCTTCTGCCCCCTGACTTTACTACTGAAAAGGTGGCACTTGGCTGCAGTTTCAAGTCCATTCATCTATTCCACTGCATTCCATTCTAAAAACCAACTTTTGCCTGCTCAGCCACATGCAGGCCCAGTTATTCAAGAAAAACTATTTCTTACATGATGTAAAGAACGTTGCAAGAAGCTTTGTCACGAATATTGTGATAAGCTAAGGAGTTATCTTTATACTAATTGAAAGTAATGTTAGATGTATTTATCAACACTGATCAAAGAAAAAGACAAAAAATGCTCTTAGAAGCTAAATATCAACACAATTGTTTTTTAAAATAAATTGGTGCATCTGAAAGATAAGTAATGAGATGGGTGACTGACTTGTTTTTGTAACAGGAACTATATATAAGTAGTCTCTGACCCTGCTTGCCAGCAGGTTTACAGCTGTAATAAAATAGTCTTTTATTACATTCATTGTGCTTTATACAAAGTTCAGACCAATATAAAAACCACTGACCCACGCCAACTCTTATTCAGCTCAGCATTTTAATGAAAAAAAGAATTATTTTATTAACACTACTCCCTTCAAAGATCAAACACCAACTATTTAGTTTCTTTTCTATATTAAACATAAATGCCCAATAATATTCAGAGAGAAACTGAGGTAACTTAGCCTCGCATCAGGCATATATCATTTGCTACTGCACAGTCCTCTAATTACATATGTGCAGGGTCTATACACACAGCTCACTGTAACATTTCTCTTGTGGGAAATGTAGGGGTAGCCTGAAGGACAGACAAGCAGCCTCTGCATTCAGAAATATGCTCAACTGTATGAAAATTACTTACAGTACTCTTGAACTGGTAATGTTGATACTGAGAAATAAACTATTATGGTATGTAACAGCAGGGCTTCACTACACCTGTGTAGTAGGGCAGTCAATAAAAGCTTTGCATATATTTAATTTTAAATCCTTAGGTTAAAAACAGTTTAAATTATTCCAGATTGCAACTTGGTTCTAGAGCAAACAGGAAAGAGGATCTTACTGCATTTCACACTATTTGCCTTACTGTTTTACCATTTACTGTTATTTGCGTTCCCAGGAAGAAGCTTTACTTATCAGAAGAACAGAGAAATTAAAGAAAATACAACTTATTTAACTAATCAAGCAGAACTATTCATATTTTTTCCAGTATAAGAGATTGTTTCATGCAAATTCGTCAAAAATAGATTCTGCTATAAGAATGTAGTTCACAATAGTCACAAAGGCATATTTTTATTCTGGGGCTTTCTACCTTATAGCAAAATTATCTACCAAACTCTTGAATAACAACTCAAGCATGGCAGCTTGATCACGCAACACTTTTATATAAATGGAGGTTATGTAACAAAAAAATTTACCTATGATCTGCACAAATAATGCTACATGCAGGGTCAGAACAAAACACTGCAAGAACTGAAGCTGGCTCAGACCTCATTCCAAACAGTTAATTCTCAACTCAAGCCCTTTCCCTACACATGCTGCCAGCCATGCCAGAAGTAGGTCACTTGCCATATCTGGTAAGCCTGTGCTTACACCACCAGATGTCTTTATGCAGACATCAGAAAGTCTTAAAGCACGGTCTACCGCTCAACAGCAAATCTATAAAATCCTATACCTCACTCACCCCCCCAGTAAGTCACATCTAGCTAAAAATGTATGAAAACTTTTTACTTTAGCTTACCTTCAAGACATCTTACAATTTTACATTCTCTAAAGATAACTTAGAAGTCAAATATTTGAAGACAAAACAGTATGTCTTATGTTAATTTATGCTCTATTAGGCAAAATATTATTTACAATTTACCACCAGCCATAAATTCATGGAATACCTCTAGTCCAGAGAACACGTAATCAAAGAGAACAGAGGCAGCCTGTAACACACACTAGACAGCAAACTGGCAAGAAAACATACAACAGTAAGCCAGTTATTTTGCTGATCATAAAATCAGACATAACTGCTATCTGCAAGTATACATTTTCCATTTGCTCACAAAAAAAAAGGTTAGGATTATACCTGTGTCGTCAGCCATAACATTAGTGCTTGATTTCCACCAACAGAGCGAGTGTGTCAGTATATCCAAAAATTAATGCTGAAGGCAGAATAAGAAATATCCTCACTGTTATCCTCCTGTTTGCAACAGGAGCGAAAGGTTTCCTAAAGCCAGCTCAGCTGGAACCTGAAACTGGACCCAAGAGAAACCTCTCCTCCAAATCTATTTTTAGAGCAGTTATCCTCAGGAGCCAAACGCTTTTCAGAACTCATATGGCAATCTAGTTCTGACGACAATGAAATTCACTTACTCCTCCTAACAGAGCATCCTGGGTAGTTGATCCTTTCCCCTCCCCTTAATCCTCCAACATCAAAAACAACAGCAAATGAAACCAAGCACATTGTACTGTAGTACTTCTGCTGCAATTTATGCCCCAGTGCCTGATCTCTCAGGACATTAAATCCATTCGCATAAGCTGAAACACAAGTCTGGACACAAAGCTTGCCTGCTTGCATTTGTTACGTTGGCCCTCATCCAAGAAACTTTCTCCATGTTGGCATTCCCCTACCAGGCTCTGAGTATCCTGCAGAGACTGCTCATTTGAAACTTGCTAACTACTTTAAGAAAAAAAGAGACAACTACTTTCTACAATGTAGTTTTGAGTCTTCTAAAAGAATTACTTGAAACCAACCTCACGCATTCTTGCCAAGGAATTTTCATATCAGAAGTGTAACACATTGTATTTACTTCTGGCAGACCCTTTCCAGAAAGGGTTAACACTAAATTATCTCACTTACCCCTCCCTTAAATTCTGACAAAATGCATACTGCCTGTACAATTTAAAGCTAAAATAAATTAAATCACCAATACACCCTCTTCTTAAGGCCCAGAAAAAACAAAAACCCACTAATACACTTTTCAACATTTTTTTCCATATTCAATTTTATCAAACTATTATTTTCCTATCCCATTGCTTATCAAACAAAAGCCAGCTTCTTTTAGGTGGAAGTCAGAAAAAAACCCTAATTTCTCACTAACTGCAACCATAAAAAAAGCTTTGGGATCTAACACTCTGCACTCCTATCCCCATGCTTCTTTAAATAACACAGCTACTAGGTAGAGAGAGTGAACAGAAGAATGCTACAACTACTTTGAAAAACAATACATGTCTCCTGTGGTTTTAACATCCAGCAAATGCAATGTCCAAGAGTTCAAGGGAGAAAAATTGAGAAACAGCACTAGAGCTTTTCATATGGATGAAAAGACTTCTCATATGGATGAAAAGGAACTACAGGCAGTTGATTCTACAACTAGTGTATCTTTTAACTTTAAAAGATACACTGGTATCTTTTTATCTCACTAGTATCTCTTTAAAGTATCCACTATCCACTTGAATACATTAAATGGATCAGATGCTTTAAGAAAGACCTCCTGACTAGTACCTTTCAGTAACATACCTGATGCACAAGCAATTAAGAGCAGAACACAGAGAAATTTACACAGATTGAAAGTAACTGAACATGGAGAAATAAAAAAAAAAAATTCAAATTAATTTTACACGCAATGATATTTATTCTATTGTATATAAAGCACATCAGAATAGGCAATCTAGAGCAAATTCACTTCAGCTGCACCTGCATTTGCAGACACCAGATCTTACCATAAGGGCACTGAAAAAGCATTTAAGTGATGCTGGGAACCTCGCCATCCACTGATAGGTATTCTGGGGGGATTGCTCTGAACCAGACCTTACCTGGCTGAATGCCCATAATGATTTCAGCACACCTTTTAGCACCTTTCACTCAGACCTAAGTGAGCAAATTCCATTCAGGGACAACAAGCACAAGGCTTATAAGGAAAGTGAGTTGAGAGAATCAAGAAATTAATTTCAAATGCGCACTCCAAATCTGAACTAACACATACATGTTGACCTCTGGCTGAGTACCCAGAGTTTTATTCTTGTGCCCTTTAAAAATTAATTGATTGCAAGAAAGACAAACATCTTCCTTCCTGAGAGGGGAAGCTACAGCTA